ATTTTAAACACTGTTTATTGGGTAAAAAAATAAGGAAGTGGTGTGCCTGATGGGAGGGGCTATAGAGGAGAGTTGCTACCCGTCACTGAGGAGGCTGGGTAGAAAAATGACTATGAGGGATCTAGAGTAAAATGTGTTGTTGAGTTGGGTTTTTCAAAAGACTTGTAATGGAGACAAGTGTTCTTCCATTGTGAAGAATGAGAATAAAATCCAGATGAGCAGAAAGTTTCCTGACTTGCCAGTGGATTTTTTTATTGTGTTTTGGCGGTGTTGGCTTGAAGAAGAACCCCGTGACACAAACACCAAAGGTTACAAGATACACAATGAAATTCTTTAAATTGTTAAATAATTATGGCATAAAGGGAAGTAATTTGATTTAAAAAACATACAAATAGATGAAAACAGGAAACGATGTGAATTCTGCCTCAATAAACAACTTTTATTAACCTAAAGTAATGAGAAAACACAAATTAAACAGAAAACTGGGAGTGATTCTGCACAATATGAAGTCTTTTACACTTAATTTCAGATTACTTCAGGTTTCTGATGAACGTTTTCTATCAAACTATTTTGTTGAAGTAGGAATAAATAAGAAGCCGCTCTAAGGACACATTATGTGTCGTGTCGGCACATTTGGAGGTTTTAGTGTCAGGGTGCTCTTTGGGGAGGAGGTGACATGTCGTTTTAACATTTTGCTGACAACAGATCCTGGGTAAAGAAAAGGCTCTGAGCAGGTGAAGCTGTGCACGACTGCAAAACTGCAACTCCAACGTGATCATGGAGGCTTTAGACCAAGACATGAAACACTCTTCATTGAATGGATTTCTTGTATGTCAATTAGGTTAAACCGTTTTTTGTTTTCATCTTCATGTAATAATCACATTTTTTGTTTTTTCTTTTCCACATGCCGACCTCCTGTGGCTCTGCAGCACTGTATAAATGTCACACTCTGAACCTTTAACAATAACATCTTGGTTTTTAAACTTAATTATTGTCAGTGCAGAAAGCCATCAGATATGGTGCTACCATGTAAATCCAGGTGCAGAATGAGCTCATGTACAGACTGTTCTCTTGTGCTAGCTATAAAATAATACAGGTAAGGCTAAACAAATCACAACCAGCAGGAGATTTGTTTAGTTGCAGTTAACCGTGTTTCCTCACACACTGTGTCAGTAACACAGATAGATTTTGCATTATGATGTCCAAACTTTGTTAGTTTTAAGATAAGTGTGTTTCCTTTTATCTGGTTCTGGCTTTCATCTGAGCCTTTAGTCCTAATTAGTCCTGACAGAAGAAAAGCTGTATTTTGATTTGCGTCTCTTCCTGCTGATCAAGTTAAGGTCGTCTGGAAACCCATCTTGGTTTGGTTTGTTGCTTGGAGAGTTTGTAGAAATCACAGAGAAAGCAGGAAAAGCTGTAAAACAAACATCTGATCACTTGTCTGTGGGACCACCAAAGAATGTGTCGTGTTTTCCACACACTGAAATAATCTGCCGAGCAGGCATTTGGTGACTTTCCCTATATTGTTTTAATTTGAGTCTGCACAGGATTTATTAACGAGGATCAATCCGACACAGGGAGAAAGATTCCTGGACCTCAGGATGTTGAAGTGGTGGTAAGAACCACACTCTTCGTCCTGTGGTCACATGTGGTTTTTATTTTAAACGTACTTTGGTTGCCAGTCATTCCTCAAACCTTCTGCTTTCAGAATTTCATTTTTAGTTGCTTAGATTTTTTTCAATAATGTTGGATAATTGAAAAAAAATTATTTTTAAACCTGTTATTTCAAAACAAGTATCAAGTCTGTGGAGGCTGACTCTGTTACAGACTATATTTGACTTTGGGAATAACTTTACCAGTTTAACATTTTCTCTGTCACATTATAAACTATTTTGTTAAATAAACTGCTTGTAGTTATTTTAAACATAATTATTACATAAAATCAGTTTTCTGCAACAAAATACAAACATTTCTACATCAGGATGAATGGATGGACAATAAACGGATGGATGGATGGATGGATGGATGAATGGATAGATGAATGGATAGATGGGTGGATGGACCGATGGATGAATGGATGGATGGATGGATAATTGGGTGGATGGATGGATGGATGGATGGACCAATGGATGGATGGATGGACGGGTGGATGGATGGATGGATGATTGGGTGGATGGATGGATTACTGGGTGGACCAATGGATGGCTGGATGGATGATTGGGTGGATGAATGGATGGATGGAAGGATGGATGGATGATTGGGTGGATGGATGGATTACTGGATGGGCCGATGGATGGATGGATGGATGGATGGGTGGATAAATGGATGGATGGACGATTGGGTGGATGAATGGATTGCTGGATGGACCAATGGATGGATGGATGGACGGACCAATGGATGGATGGATGGACGGACCAATGGATGGATGGATTACTGGATGGACCAAAGGATGGATGGATGGATGGATGGACCAATGGATGGATGGATGGATGGATTACTGGATGGACCAATGGATGGATGGATGGATGGATGGACAGATGGACCAATGGATGGATGGATGGATGGATTACTGGATGGACCAATGGATGGATGGATGGATGGATGGATGGATACACTTAATAAATGTTTTGTAATTTTAAACTTTTTGGTCTCCTTCACCTCCTGTTAAAATCTAACTGAAGATAAAAAATTGGCCTCAAAATATTGTTTTATTTCCAGAATTAAAAGTTTAAACATTCCTGCTTGTCACCTGCCACCTCAGTGTTTTAAACTCAGGATCATTTTATGAAGAAAAGTGACAGAGATGCAACTGTTTTTGGTCAAACCTTGTAAATACTAAAGAAACAATCTTAAGCCATACCGTGAGATCTTCCATGATGTATTGGCTCTCATATTCGGACTCTATACTACTAACTCAGTAAATTTAGCTCAATATTTTCAAAGAATTACTGAGTTCTGATGATTTTTTTTGTGTTGATTATGGTTGATTTAAGCCACAATCATTAATAAAATAAATCTTCTTCCTAATAGTTGCGTTAAATCCATCCAGTGGTTCAAGAGATATTTTGCTAACACAGTTATGGATCATGAGCTTAAGTAGTTTTAGTACAAAAACAATCTGGACAAATAAAGCAATGAAATCTTTTTGTTTTCTTTTATTACTGATATTTATTTCATTTGCACACTTTTTTTTTACATTTTGTAGCATGTTTTTCTATCTTGTATCAACTCTAAGAAATTCACATTTACACAATGCATTTTACATTAGTAGATGACATTCACGTTTGTTTTCAGGGGGTCCTGATGTGTTCGTGTCAAGTAATAAAATCACAGAGAATCACAGTGAGCCTCCCCACCGTGCTGCAGGTCACATGTCCAATACGACAGAGGAACATGAGAAAACCACTGCACYCGCAAAAACATCTGTACAGTAGATTTCAATTAGCAGATAACCAAATGTGAGTTTTAGAGCAGAACTACCTGTGAGACGTTTATGTCCTCTTTATGCTACATGATTCTATGTTTATAGCGTGTTAACATACGGTATGAGTTCACCGGCAACCTGCTCGTAATGAAAGTCTTTATATCGGTGCCAAGTTTATACAGTTTGTTTGAGTCTCCAAGGCTCACCCATTGAAACAAAAAAAAACCCTTCATTAGCTCCGAAACAAAACAAAAACACGTAAATCGTAAGTGGAAAAATGCAAAGAATAAGAGTTTAAAGTTCTGAACTCAAAGCCACTGGACACTGTACACAGGCACTTGAACTATGGTACACTCTCTGAGTGCAATCATATTTTATCTAATAAGTGCTACGAAATAAAAACATCGCTTAAAAAAATACCTGTTTCCAAAGTGATCCTATTCATAGTATGAACAAACTGGAAATYTTAGGACAAAAACAACTTAGAAGAATAGAAATCGGGCACATTTAACCTCATCCTCAATCGTCTCTTGCATATATTTCAGTGTCTACTGCGTTTTTACAAATACAGGCTCACTTCAGAGGCTGTTGGAGAAAGAGAATCCAACATTAGGGAAGATGAATATGCTAAGGGGCGGAGCTAGAAGGGTTGTTGGGTGTCACCTGGTTGGCCACCTCAGGTGCCACCCCCAAATAACTAAAAAGTGGGTGGGGATCTTACATTCTGTATTTYTATTTACATACTACTATACTGTATGAATTTTCAGCTGTGTAAGTTTACAAAAGGCTGAATTATAYCCATTTGTAAAATTAGCATTAGCTATAGTGGTTAGCTTAATTTGGCGTTAGCATGGGCAGTCGGCATGTGATCATTCTTGGCTACGTCACATCAAACTTCATCAAAAATGGCTGAAATGTAGCTTTTTGTAAAACTAGCATAAGCTATAGTGGTCAGCTTATTTTGGTGTTAGCATGGGCAATCGGCATGTGATCACCGTTGGCTGCACCACATCAAACATATATAATCAAAAACGGCTTAATTTAACCTTTTAAAGCAGAATTTTTCCATTTTTGATTAGCATTTAGAAGTGGTAAAGATTGATTTCGGCTGTGTTTACACAAATTTTCAGTTTTGTATGTTTAAAAATAGCTGAAGAATATGTTGTGACTTGCATTCAGCGTGTTTTTTTTAATCATTTTTAGCTATGATCACATACAATTTCAGCTCAATATTTCTGGTGACCATGTTGAATTTTCAAATCTTTTCTTTATTTGCATGTGCC